AAAAAAAAAAAAAAAAAAAATTAAGGGCTTTTTTGTTATAAAATAACCTATGGTCTATATTTTTGTACAAAAATCTTTGCACACATTTTTAATGAACTCCTTCAGGTCAACTTTTAGAAATAAATTCAAATCAAAGGATATGTAATATTGTATTACTTTTTCTATAATGTTTGCCAAACTGCCTTCCAGAAAGCTTAACCAATTTAAAATTCCGCCTGCTATGTGTAATGATACCCATTTTCCTGCAACTTCCTCTAACATGAAATATTAAAATTTAGAAAACAGACAATTTATTAAGCAAAGAGTACATCTCAATGTTGCTTTAATTTGCCCTTCTTAGATGACATGTTTATTTCCTATTAAGCATTTGGTTTTTGCCCATTTTCTTTTCCCATTGGGAATTCAATTTCTTCTTATAGCTTTGTTGTAAATCCTTTTTTTATTATGGTAGAAATCATATAACATTCAAGCTACCATCTTAACCATTTTAAGTGTATAGTTTAGTAATGTTAAGTATTTTCTCATTGCTGAGTCCAAAACTTTTTCATCTTTTAACACTGAAACTCTATAGCTACTAAACACAAATTCCTCCTCCCTCCTCCACAGCCACTGGTAACCACCTGTCTATTTCTATATATTAGTGATCCTAACCTTTCCATTGACATACTGCAGATACTCTTACTAGTTTACCATTTGCCGATTAACTTTGCTGGTCAGACTTTTTTGGCTTGCTCAGACTTCTGTCTGTTTATTTAATTTGTATGTAGTCAAATCCATTATCTTTTCCATAATGGAAATCCCTCATCTCCCTCTAATTATATCCAAGACCAAAAAGGCATAAAATCTCCAAATATTAAACTATTCACACACAGCACAACTGTCTTCTAAACTAATGCTGAAAGTGAGTGCAATTGTGGTAATTTCGTGCTGTTGTTAAGGATTTGAGGTCTGCTTGGGCTGGAGCTGGTGGCCTCTCCATTCTTTGTGTGCTGTGCAATTTCATCTCCAGGAAAGCTCTGGGATGAGATGAGGTCAAGTGCTTGCATTGAAAGCTACTTTTTAGAAGCACATTTTTTTTCAATATTTTGTATTTTTTTATTGAAGTTTTCTTCAGTATTGTGCCTTTTTTCCCCTAATGTCTAGGATCATGAAAGTTTTTAGTTTCTTAATCCAGTTATAGGTTTTTATGAGATTTATTACATTGTTTTCTCAGTTCAGGAAATCATGCCTTACTATGTTGTAAGTAAATATGTTTTTGTTTTTAGGGAGGCAAATTCTGAGGGAAAAGGTCATTAAAGGTGCATTAGCATTCATCTATTAAGCGCTTATCTGTAACCACATTAATGTCTGAATCTGGAGAGTGGTGTTTGCTCTTCTTTTCTTTCTTTTTTTTTTTTTTTTTGGAGACAGGGTCTCACTTTGTCGCCCGGGCTAGAGCGCAGTGGTGTGATCTCAGCTTACCTCCGCCTCCCGGGTTCAATGGATTCTCAAGCCTCAGCCAAATAGCTGGGATTGCAGGTGTGCACCATCATGCCCGGCTAATTTTTATATTTTAGTAGAGATGGGGTTTTGCCATGTTGCCCAGGCTGGTCTCGAACTCCTGGCCTCAAGCAACCCGCCCGCCTGTGCCTCCCAAAATGCTGGGATTAGGGGCATGAGCCACTGCACCCAGCCTGGTGTTTGCATGTCTTGGAAAAGTTGGAGTCCCGTTTGTAGTGACACAGCTTTCCAAGGAGAAAGGTCTCCGTTTCTCAAAGTTCTTCAACGTCCTTCTCTCCTAACTGCCTCCTGAGTTTTGGCTAAAACAAGTGTTTCAAGTTTACACCAGTGTTCAGGGGTAATGGCACTGATATATATACTTTATCAATTTTTGAATGCCTCATCAGCTAGTCCTTTAAAACATTGTAACAAGTCCTCTTCATTTTAAAATAAAACAAACATTTTTCTTCCTCTTGGGTAGTGGCTGTGTGGATATTTGCTTGTGGCTAATGTTGTTGTACGTGCAGGATATGGAGGTGAATGACTGCTCTCCTGTGGGATTTTAAGAACATGCCCTCCCGGGTGGGTCTCTTGACCAGCTTCTCACTTTGCTTTGGGTCTCAGTTATGACCGCTAAGTTTTAGTTATTAGAATGGATCTGAGACTTCGGATAAAACTTAATCAGGAGACATGGTCAGGACAGACAATGTCTGTATTATCCTTGAAAGTAATCA